ACCATACAACTCAAGCATTTGGGGCCTTAGGATAAAAAAATGAAGAAGGGCCTTCAGCCAAAAGAAACGTTCAACGAGACAAATCAAGGGTAATGATACGGGTCTCTGCCGTACGCGACCCACTACTACGTCGCCAGAAATATCTTCTACGCCCCCTCCTCCGGGTCACCGGGACCGTCTTCCACGAAACAACGACGTGTGCGTTTATGGCTGTCAGGTCCCCATTGAATGAAGCTGCCTTGATGACGTAAAACAGGATCGGAGGGCAGGGGGACAAAAGAGAGAGTAGACGAGGGAGAACAACTTTATTACCAATTTTTAATTCAATAATAATAAAGAGAGTATATTTTTTAAAATAATTATATAAGTCATATTTTCTCGGCAGAAGTGATATGCACATATTATTTTCATCAGAATTTTAGATAACACTGTACAAGAAACTATACTTTTAGATAACATTGGCCCACTTCCGATTTTATTATTAATAAATTTTATGCAATTCAAAGAAAGTGGATAACAAAAATTTAATGAAAAAATACTAATATTTTACGGTGATCCAAAATCCAAAATAAAAAAATACCAATTCTGATAAAATTAATAAAATAATCATTTTTATTGTCTATAAATGGGGAATGTTTTAATTAGTAAACGTTTAAGAAATTAATCAGATGACATGATGTTTTTAGCGCACATAAATATTAAAATTTAAATGTTGTTACTCTGATATGTTGAAATATAATATAACTAATTTTCATCATGTATCTTAAAGGGAATCAAATACTATATATTTAAGGATAGGAATAAAATAAAGAAGACGCCAGCCAAATTGTGTGGGAAATCCTGAATCTATTTGATACTACCGAACAGCAGTAACAAAATGCCCCGCAAAATAGGCTAAAAAACAAATCGCCATTTTATCGTGTAATAATAACTGTCAAAAATAAAAATTGGATCGCGTTGCCGTCTCGAGAGGTGCGAAGAATATAGCTTCCATTAAGTTAAATAGCGTCTTAGATTTGGGAAACGGCAACAGATCAGAATACAGCAGGTGACCATCTCGTACCCACGAGGATGGCTTCCATCTTGTTATGGTTGCTGGGAGTAATAATTGCAACAGAGGGAGGGGTAGTGAGGCCTCAAGTGGAAGCGCAGAAAACCATATTTATACTGGCGGGACAGAGCAACATGGCCGGGAGGGGAGGCGTGGCGAACGTCTGGGACGGGGTGGTGCCGGTGCAGTGCCGTGAGAACCCGTCCATCCTGCGGCTGAGCGCAGGATTGGAGTGGGTGGAGGCGAAGGAGCCGCTGCATCGGGACATAGAGGCGACGGAGACCGGGATCGGGCCGGGCATGGCATTCGCGAATCGGATCTTGAAGAAGAAGCCTGAACTGGCGGTGGTGGGGCTGGTGCCGTGCGCCGTAGGAGGCACAAACATAAGCGAATGGGAACGAGGAAGAGAGCTGTACAATCATATGATGAGGAGAGCTAAGGCATCGGTGAGAAGTGGCGGAAGTATCAGTGCGTTGCTGTGGTATCAAGGCGAATCTGACACTATCAATCTCACAGATGCTCAGGCATACGGCACCAGACTCCGCAAGTTTTTCTCCGACGTTCGTGCTGACCTCCAGTCTCCGTTGCTTCCTATCGTCCAGGTCTTCTTTTTATTTTATTTTTATTTCTTTTAATCTCCCCAGTAATTTCATTTATTTATTCTTTCTTTTAGTATGCTTGGAAACAATTTCTTTGGCGTGCCTTCGACATATGGGTATGGCATTTATAGGTCCGCCCTGCTTATTAATTATGATCATACTGCAAATTGGTATATATGAAACCGAAAAGGAAATTAAGACGCTCAGATCTTTAGGGTGTTGAGAAGAGATTTTCAGCCACCCCTTCCACTAACAAACTAAGAGTGTTTTGTTATAAACAAAACCATAATTTTGAAAGTTTTTCACGGCATAGTTTTGATTGGGACAGGTCTTAATTTCAACCGTGGCCACTTGTTTTGCGTATGTTACGCACTAGGTATAATAATACGATATTGACAACGAACACCCATCCACAGGGATGGGGTCTTCCCTCACCCTAGTCCACGCTAACAGATTCAACGGCAATATCTTATTTTAATTTTTATGATATAACCAGTGATTTAAAACTTGGACTGGACTGGCCGGTTAGACCGTCAGCCGGTGCCCACTGCGGCTCGTTCCAACTGGTTAGCTCGTTCTACCGTTTGAGCTGTTTCAAGCCGCCCTTTAGACCGGAAGCCGGTATTAACCGGAGAGCCGGGACGGTTTTGGAAAAACCGAACGGCCAAACTCTTTCTCACTACGAACGCTTGAAAAAACAAATAGTACATAGGGTGTGTTTGGATGAAACCAAACCGTGGTTTGGAAAAGTGATTCCAGAGAATAGATTCTGGGAAGAATAGATTTTGGAAAAAATAGATTTTATGAAAAAGTGATTTTGAGAAGTGAGAGTGTTTGGATAGTTGTTATTAGAAGCACTTTTTATATATACAAATTACTAAAAAAAAAGAAATAAGTTAATATGATAATTACAAAAAAAATAGATTTTATGATATATTTTAATTTAGAGGAATAAAATTGTTAATACTCCTCCGGTCCTAATTATAAGACCCAATTGGCTTATTTGAGGAGATTAAAGAAGTAAGTTAAGTTGGTTATTTATAATAAATAAGTGTTGTCATTCCTAAAATATCCTTGCTAATTAAGTATATTGGCTAAAACTATCATTATTAGAAGGATTATCTTGGAAAAAAATGCATAAATATAAGAGACAAAATGGATTGGGGTCTTATAATTAGGACCAAATAAAAAGTCAAATAGGGTCTTATAATAAGGATCGGAGGAGTAATATATTTTTTATTAACATAATTAATAATACATAAGATAATATAATTAATTAATAATTAATATGTATATATATTTATAAAATATAAGATTAAATATGTTTATAAAAAAATATGTTTATAAAAAAAATAACAAGATACATACATATCATATAGGCTCTCACACTCTCTCTTTTTTCTCCAAAAGCAAAAATTTTTTGCTTTTTCCAAAACTATAGTTTTGGAGCCAAAACCATGGTTTGGCCCAAAACCATGATTTTGGTTTTTGAGAGGGGTGTTTGGGTAGCATTTTGTGCAAACCATAGTTTGGAAGCCCAAACTATGGTTTACAAGTGCATCCAAACGGTGCCATAGTCTCACTCACACACCAACTCAAGATCTGTTCCTGAAATACGAAGAAGAAAAGAAAAGGAAGAAATATTGAAGAAGAGAACAGGACATGCTTGCTGGAAGAAGAAGATGATGAAAGAAGAAGAAAAAAGCTCGTCACTTTTATTCTGCAAATCGAGGGGTTGAAACCACCGTGCATAAATACACTCTAAAAATTAGAAGCCATCTGGTCTTACTTCTATTGTTGCACCGTCAAAAATTTAAAAGAAAGACTGACAGAAAAGACATCACTTTTATGCCCCGCAGTTGGAAAATGAAGAATTAAAAACTGAAAAGAAACGACATCGTTGTTTGTAAGGATAGAAAAAGCCATCTGACATGTATTAATTGCACTGAAAGAGTTGGCCCAAAAAAACGGAGTGAAATGATTTAAAAAAGAAAACTACGCTAAAAAGGAAATTTAAAATAGTACTATTATAATATCATATTCAAAGGGTACAATGCTAAAAAAAAATTATTTCAATAGTTTTATTGTGTTGGGAGTTGAGAATTAGGATATATATTATTACACGTGTGTTTGTTTATTTTTATTCTCAAGTCACACAATAATTTCTATATCTATTTTTATATTTATATTATTAAATAAGTATATAATATTATTTTTAATTTAATTATTACGTCACCGGTCCGACCGATCCGACTATTTGAACCGTGACCCACTAGGTTTTTCAATTCAATATCCGGTCTGGCTTTTAAAACATTGGTTATAACTAATTGAATTATCTTATTTACGTCAAGCAGGAGCGGCATAACAATTGAGAATTTCATGAATCCAGAATGAAATATAGGGAAATCAATATAATCCAGACCGTAATATAGCCAAATTAAATGTGGTAATATAATCCGACCAGATTTCATCATAGTGGATTGCAAATAAAGTTAGCCTATCACCGCCTGTATTTTGAATTCATAGTTTTTATAGAAATAGTCTTGTTGATTGCGCCTTCCTAGACGGCATTACTCCTGATTCTTCTTAGTCAACCAATCGTGCTGACTTCTTCAGATGTATTATTCCGTTATAAAAACCATCATCGACATGTAAATATTAAACAAACCACACAATTCATAAATCATAAACGGAATGAAATAACAAACATTTTAAAATGTTACAAAAGAAAACGTGTAGGATGGATGAGCTGAACGTTCCTAATAAAGAAAGAGACTAATGTGGAACACCAACTGCACTACTGTAGGTTGTATTGATAATTAAGTAACATGTATTTTTCATGGGGTAGTTAGCTGATAATGATATAACAATAACAATAACAGTGTTTTTGGGTTGACAGGTGGCTCTGGCGTCGGGTATTGGCCCATACGTGGAGACGGTGAGAGAAGCCCAGTTAGGGATGGACCTTCTGAACCTGAGGACCGTTGACGCCAAGGGCTTGGCACTAGAGTCTGATGGGCTTCATCTGTCGACCCCAGCCCAGGTCCATCTGGGTCAAATGATGGCCGACGCACTCCTTCGCTTCCTACCCACCCCATCGCATGCTCAAGCTCCTCACCCTAACCAGGCCCCTCCCCCTCAAAGGCCTTCTTAATTTTCCTCTTCTTCCCAGTTTTCTTATAGTCCTTTCCCCCTCCCTTTCTCCTTGTGATTTTTCTTACTATTATTCCGTTACGCAACAAGACTTCGTCTATGAAAAGTATAGCTGTAAAACGTCTCTCTTTTTGAGGAAAACAAAAATGAAAGCAGAAGAATTGTTACTTCTCACCATGCAACAATAAACACGATCATGGTAGGTAAACTTAGTGAATTGTATGCGGTTAAAATAAAATATATATACAAAATGTGTCCGCAACAGTATATTGTATCATAGAAGGGAGAAAGTGGGGCATGAGGGGTTATAGTGGCGGATGATTGGTCCCTAGTTGAATGAAAGACAGCCACCTGTGCGGAATATGAGGTTGAAGAGAAGTGCGATCATTACTGACAGAGGGGGCCGTTGGGATTAAATTATGAGGAAGACATGCACACACACACACGCACACGCACGTACATATTAGACAGACAATTAATTAATTTAGGACCACATGGCCTTTTGTTTTAGGTATCGTATGTAAGGTCCCGGCGAGAGCATTATATATCTGAACCAAAAAGGAAAAGCAGGACTCGCTTTTGTTCAAGTCCTTGTCCATATCTGCATATCTGGATTCCTGAGTTACTGGACCTGACTTATCTATGTACTACAGTCACTTGCAGTGGAGAATGACCGCACATTAATCCTGCATTAGCACATCATAATGTACATGCAGTATTCTACTCCAAAGATGCTGGTCGCCACGAAGCAAGTTGAGTTGCAAGATCCCATTTTTCAGCTGAATTCCAGCTGACTAAAGCATCAGAACATTAACTAGTTTCCACCTCTTAATGTACGAGTCGCCTGTATTTGCCAATGTGGGGATGATAATGTACCATTCCAACTTTACTACCTTCATAAGCCCCGTAGGCTAGCATCCATCCCCTTTTTATCAGCAAGTCCCGCGTTGAGGGAACGGTAATGGTAGGGGCGTTTGAGGGAGTTGACGATGGTGAAACTCGGTGGAACTTGTGATTATTATGGACAGGGGACGGCGAGGGGGAATTACATTATGAGGAAGGCATATGACAGGGAATTTAGGATCCCACGGCCTTTTTCGCATCCCATCATGTAAGGTGTCGGGGATGTGGAACTTACTTCTATTTACTTCCCAGCTGCAATGGAGAATGACCAGACATTAACTCTCTATCTGCAAATCTTAATGTATATACAGTATTCTACTCCAAATATACTGGTCCCCAACAAGAAAGTTGAGTCTCGCAACATTCTATTTCTCAATAACATCAATTCTCTTCTTCTTCGAATCCTAGTATCGTTTTATTACCATCCAATATTAATTAATGGCTTACCCTTTAGATCCATATGTATGTCCTTTTGATGGAAGGGAGGCTTCAATGGAATTTGAAAGGCGTTGGCGCACTCATGTGCCGCGAACGTTTTATGGGCCCCATCGGAACTTGGAGGAAGCAAAGCGCACTGCGCATACCAGAAAGCTCTTCTCTGAAGAACCCCCGCTTGGGGGGGGGGGGTTTCCTTTGAAAAAAAAAATACGAGTCAGTAATATGGGATATGTAGGCATATAGACAAGCGTGTATTAAAATACTTCCTGTCCATGCATGATTTGACAGCATTTTGAATTTGATAAATAATTATAAATTTTTTAGAAATAATAATGCTAACGAATCTTGCCACTTCAATAATTTTCAAGAGTCTGCGCCGGAGAGCGTGCCGTAATGATGATGATAAAAATTTTACCCTTTGACTGTGCTTTGCTATGTGTTACGTTGATGGCCACTGATGATGGCCACGTTGCTACTGAGAACTGACTTTCTCGAAGAGAGATAAGACGTGGCAACAGAGGCATTAAAGAGGGCCTGGAGTTTGAGTTTCTAACAACGTAACGGAAATTGAATCATCTCAGTGATGGCGCTGAAGTCCTGTGCGTCATGGTTGTTAGCAACGGGAATGGTAATGCTAAGCCATTCGTCCTCACTCTGGGCAGCGGCTAAGACGAAGGACATATTTACACTGGGAGGACAGAGCAATATGTTAGATAGTAAATGTGAATGTTCTTTCAATAAGAATTTAAATTTTCAGATTGTATTGAAATAGGCAATTACGATCAATACCTCCAATTACAATGGGCAATTAATGTATTTGGGCCAAGACGTGCACCCAAAATCAGGAGCGGCTCCCCCAGCCCCCCCCCCCCAACCTCTGGGGAAAAAAAAAATTTGAAGAGCGGTTTAATTAGTTCTTAATAACAAATGATAGCAGCGGCAAATTGAAAAGTCTGTTAACTCGGAAGCCTCGCGCCTCCAGAGAGCGAAAGAGAAACTGAAAAGCAACGCAGAATAAAACATGACATTGGCGCTTAAACATCATTTTCTGGTTTCCGTGCCTGAAACTTCAAGTCAACAATTCGCCAATTTCTAATTAGTAGTCAAGTTGCAATACATACGTAATTAACTACTCTCACGCTTAAAATGTTCCCGAATAAATCTTTGGGCATGAGCTGGGTACTTAAGTCTGATGTATTCCCGAAGGCACTTCTGGTAGGAGAAGTCTATCCAGCCACCATCAGTTCTTACAACAAAAAGACACCTTGAGTTTTGATATTGCGGATGTCGATCAACCTGCAAGAACACAAGTCAAATATACCACTGCACTTGCTGGCCACTTTGAAAAAGAAACAGAGCAACTCTTTTATATAATAAGAAGGATTTGCTCAAGCTCAATAATCTTGGTGCGGGGGTGCCACTCGATGTAAAACTACATGAGCAGTACATGATATTTGGAAAACAAGGATTACGGTTAACGCCAGAAAAGTTCATGGTAGAACTCCTAGAATAGCCCGAGAGAGTAATCTATGTATCAGTGACGGCTTAAACCTCAATGCAATTAAGTATAGCTACATATTTTTACGCACAATTACTTTCCTCTCTTGATATGTCTATAGGCAGCGTATTTCAATGCATTTAATCTAATCGAAGTGATACCTAGTTGGTGTTGTCATGAAATTGCTCATTATAGCATCATTTCTGAAGACATCCTAGTTTCGTTTGATGACATTTAATCCAATTTGCAGAATTTGCAACAAAGGAATTTCATGATTGTCGCCATTTTTTCTGCCTTTTCCTACATTACTAGCAACATTTTGAGGGTTCATTCAGAAAGGAAGAACATCGAACGATTGAACCATACAGAATATAGTCCACAAAGATTTCCCCATCAAATATCAAGGATAAAGTACGGACTAATGCCAAGAGACGCTAACGAGCATTCGGCATATTTTGTAGCTCGAGTTCATAAGATGAAGTTTTTTCCCCCCTTAATATACAGTCATCAAAGGCAGAGGTAAGGCCTACATCTAATACTTACTGGCAGCATGACCATGTAGAACCGGGTATCAGCATTATAGCAGATTATATGCTTTATCACTCAAACTATGAAATATAAAATCATACTTGGGCCAATTCGAGACAACAAAATAAAAATAACAAAAATTCAGTCACTGCACTGGAATGTAGAGTCAAAGCACACCATAATGAGAATGTTATAGGTCCCACCAAAGTTGGCCTCGGAATTAAATAAAGCTGAAAGTATTCAGAGAGAAAGATGGCACAGCTGATCCCGTGGATGTTCCTATAGAAGTGGTAACGTTACTCATAGCTAGCATATTCTGAACCAAATACAAGCAACTAGGTTGTAAATAAACCGACATTCTATAATCTACTGGAAAGTAATCAGTGACGTGGCATTAATTAATTAATAAAATTAAAAAGAAACGAGCATGGCTATATATTTCTGCTTGGTGGCTTACACAAGGAAATGAAAGCAAAGTTATACTATTGCAGTGAAAAGCTTACCATAATGGATTGAATGCCACATGCAACTTTATCTTGGAAACGTGGATGGTAGGCAAGAAGGTTATCAGCCACAGCTTTCTCATCCTCAACAGTCAGTCTCTCCCCATCCATGTACCTAACTAAGGAAATCAACTGAGAAGTCAGGGAGAGGGAATTGAGAAAGGAGAATGATTGAGGCAGCATGGCGTGAGGAATGTTTTACCTACCTAGGTGAGTGAAGAATATGCTTGGTGAGCAGAAGGATAGGCTCAATGTCCCTGAGGATCTCCGCTTCTTTGTTTCTCCATTTCCGATAATCCCACGTCGCCTCCCTTGGGCTTGGCGTCGGCGAGTTAGCTCTCAGACTCCCCATATTAACACCACTCACTTTCTCTTCTGCTTGTCGCCAATATGCTATACTGCGGCATACCGGATGAGGTCTCGCACCGATTCCGCCGGTGATCCCTTGGTAGTTAAGCCCCTGAATTCCACTGAGAAGAAGACGAGCTGCCATTTCAGTTTATTTTCTTCAAGGAATCGGTTAGACACCAAATATTATCTCCCCCATTTTATTCATATTTTTTGGGCTTTGGGTTCTGAAAAATTGGACCAAACTATTCTGGGCTAGGCCCATGTAGCTTGACTCTGGACTCCTTTTTAGTGCCTCTGGACCTCTAGTTTTAAACAGGATGAACAGGTACCATATTTAGGGATCTCCTAATGCGTGCCTGTCTCATTAATTGACTACAGATTAAATAACGACATAAAAATAGGCAGGCGATGATTATTATATGATCTGATAAGATTGAATTAGTGTCGTTTTAACATTAAAAAAGAAAGCATCATCCTCAACATCATCGCTGATGCTTGCAACTGATATGAAAGCTGCATGCTACGGTAGAATTCGGGCCTCAAACTTGCCGAAGATCAAATTTTGTTCACATCTTGCTGTAGATTCAATATTGGACGTCAGTTATCGTGCATATTGAAACTGATGGTAAGAGGCGATGATGATCTGTTTTGTGCGCAGAAGATTGCAGAAACGTGTGTGATCTTCAACAAGGGAAGGGCTGATTTGATAGTTCAACGTTCAAGGCTTATCCAACCTGCATTACGTGCCTGTGTTATGTTTCAATATTTTTTTATTTGTACATATAAAATGGTCTATTTCAGTGAATGACGTGCCTGCACGGCGTAACAACCGTATTGATTACCCACTTCCTTATCTGGAAAATTTTTCTCATACTTACACGTGTACTCACCACAAAAATCCTCATATTTAATTAAAAATAAAAATAGAAGTCGCCAATGTGAGGGAGGGGCCATGTCATTAGTCCCGTGAGCTGGTCCGCACGGGATATTGCTTTTTTGAAAAATTTCAAGACCGACGAAAGCTTGACAGACTCCAGAAAGGCGGAATGAAATCTGCGTTCATGTCCGTCTCGGAAAATTTGGAACCCGCGCTCCGCGACATGAGAACCTCTGCCTTTCCCTCCGCCGAGCTCCACTGAGATTGTGGCTGCTCATCTCCTCCGTCTTTCCCAGAAATCGCCGTGGATGGGCCAGGCAACGTCCACGCCCGCAATTGCGTGCCGTCGCCAAAATTCTCACGGCTCCCGCTCCAAGACCAGATCAACGGCCCTGGTTTCTCCGATGCTCGCCGATGACTGCGACGATTCCTTTCATGAGGTTGTCGATTCCGTCCCTGACTTCATCTCTGATCTTCCCGATGAGTGCCTGGCTTGCATTTTTCAGTCGCTGAGCTCCGCCGACCGCAACCGCTGCTCTCTGGTATGCCGGCGGTGGCTCAGGATCGAGGGCCAGAGCCGTCACCGTCTCTCCCTCAACGCACCATCGGATCTCCTCCCCGTTATTCCTTCACTTTTCTCTCGTTTCGATTCCGTCACGAAGCTCGCTTTAAAATGCGACCGTAGATCTGTGAGCATTGGGGACGAGGCGCTTCTCCTCATTTCTGAACGATGCCCTAATCTGACCCGCTTAAAACTCCGGGCCTGCCGTGAACTCACGGATGCTGGCATGGGGGCCTTTGCCAAGAACTGCAAGGGTTTGAAGAAGCTTTCCTGTGGATCTTGCACTTTCGGATCCAAGGGGATGAACGCAGTGCTCGATAATTGTCCGGCTCTCGAAGAGTTATCAGTGAAGCGTCTCCGCGGAATTACCGATGCAGCTGCTGCTGAACCAATTGGACCCGGTGTCGCAGCGTCATCCCTTAAAACTCTTTGCTTGAAAGAGCTTTACAATGGACAGTGTTTTGGGTCTCTTATTCTCGGCTCAAAGAATCTAAGGACTTTGAAGCTTTTCAGGTGCTCTGGTGATTGGGATAAGCTTTTTAAACTTCTAGCGGACGGAGTGCCAAGTATGGTTGAAGTCCACCTTGAGAGGCTTCAGATTAGTGATATCGGCCTCGTGGCAATCTCGAACTGTTCGAATCTAGAAATATTGCATCTTGTCAAGACCCCTGAGTGCACAAACTTAGGGCTTGCTGCCATAGCTGATCGGTGTAAGCTACTACGTAAACTTCATATCGATGGATGGAAGGCTAATCGTATAGGTGATGAAGGTTTGATGGCAGTTGCTAGATGTTGCCCTAATCTGCAAGAACTGGTCCTTATTGGTGTTAATCCCACTAAAGCGAGCTTGGAAATGCTGGCATCCAATTGCCATAATCTAGAGAGACTGGCGCTATGTGGAAGTGATACAGTTGGTGATGATGAGATATCGTGCATTGCTGCAAAATGTATAGCCCTGAAGAAACTCTGTATTAAGAGCTGCCCCGTCTCTGATCATGGCATGGAAGCACTAGCTAGTGGATGCCCAAATTTAGTGAAAGTGAAGGTTAAGAAGTGTAAGGGTGTAACACTTGAAGGTGCAGATTGGTTGAGATTAAGTAGGGCATCACTTGCTGTTAATCTAGATACTGGCGAAACTGAACAGCAGGATGCCAGTGCTAGTGATGGTGCAGCGCAGGATAACGCCGGAGAATTTCAACCAATCCCCAGTCAAGCAGCAGCATCGGCCACTATTGCATCCAGCAGTTCTGGCCGATCTACATTCAAGTCAAGGTTAGGACTTTTGTCTGGGAAGAGTTTAGTGGCTTGCACTTTAAGAAGGTGGGCAAGTGGCAATAGTAGTTCCCGGCATGTTTAAACGCGGAAACTTGAATAATATGCCAAAGCAAAAGCAATCCTAACCTTTGTTCAGTTTCATCATTGTGTTGTATCACTTGATTTTCTCTCGTTATATCTAAATTTCATTCATGCTGTGTGCTGTTGATTGTTTTTTGAGTTGAATCTTCACAGCTGGAAGTGACAATCACATTTTTTTACTCCCAAATTTCTTTGGTGGCTGGTGCTGCCCAAGGACAGTACATCTTATCAATTAGATAGATGGGAAGCTGACCCTCTTTGTCATGGAGGTTGAGGCTGATCGATGTCTAAAAGTGTTACATTGCTACAATTTGTTAAATGTTTTGTATCTAATGAGAGAAGATATACTTTACTTCTGCTTTTTCACGGGCGAGAAGAATGGTTGGTAAAAAAACTATTGTCGTGCGGTTTGATGCTCTAGCAATTATGTTGGCATCTGTTTCTTGTGCTGTTTTCTTTTTCCTTTTGGTTTTTCCTTTTCGTCGCGATTTATGCGGTTATTTTTCAAAGCAATTGATATCTTGTACGATTAATAGACTGTTTTTGCATGAGTATGGCATGAGTTACCTCTCCCGGCTGAAGCCTGAAGGTGGTGGCATTTACTAGAATCGATGTTCAGATAAAAGGCGATAGCAGGACTACTATTTTTGTTTGATATAACCTTCCTTTTCTTTTTATTTTGTTGGTCTTAAATCCACCTTCCTCCTTATCTGCCCCATTTAATTATATGGCTTGTTTGGTGCAAAATAATAATCACTGTATTTGGGATTGAAGGTATTTGGAGGAACTGATCTTACTATCATTATAAGGTCTAGGTACTTTTAGATGTGACTCAAATTTATTAATGTCTCTGCAATTCCAAATTTTATTATTTACTTTCTGGCCGTACTTGCTGCTTGTGAATGGGGGCTTGTGGTAACTGTTACTTATTTCAGGACCCATTTTAATCAGTAGGAGGATTGCTAAATCTTGGTATTTAAGACACTAGAAAACCTTACGATCACAGGTTATTGGTTCTGTTAATATTAACGTTGTGTTTCTATGTGAATAGAAAATCTGTAGTGATCAAGTGCTCTTGGACGCTTGTCTTTTTGTGCTGTCTTCACTGTGATGAGCTCGTCCTGGACATGCCTGTAATTTCTATGCTTGATTCTCAGTTCTCACCTAACCAACTCTTGTTGGGAAGGTGCCGAACTGCCGCTGCCTGCAAAATTCGCAATTGCGATTGTCATGTTGGTAAGCAGGACAATTATTTAGGCGAAAGTCAACTTGTTCAATCACCCGATTGATGTATATATTAGGCATTCAGGTTGACGTGGCTTCCATTGGCTTTGATCGAGTACATGTTCAAACTACTTAATAATTGAACTATTCAAATTTGATGAGCACTTGAAATGGACGCGAACACCAGGCAAAATGACTGATGATTATTGGCTAATGATAATAATTTGTTTTTGTCAAAGCTAACAGTAAGAGTACATATTCCGCTACTGTCATTAGTGACGTGTAAGGGGGCAAATACACGAGAAAAGCCCTCCATCTAATTCATCTTTCCTTTTCTTTTTATTAAATCACTACAATATTAAGAATTATACCAATAAGTAATTTTCTTTAATTAGCCTATATTTATTTTAAAAAGAAAAGCCAATAGCACTAATTTAGTTATCTATTTCAATCAAAATCAGTCTTGGGTGGCCTAGACAAAAACACCGTAAAGGCCTGCTTGGTGCGAAACGAAAATGGGTATGGGAGGAAGCGAGAAAAAGAAAAGAGGGGAGGAGGGGGGAGTGAGAGAATGTGTACAGGAATGGAGCTATGGAGATAGGAGAACTGTCATAGATATGAGAATATTTTTTTTTTAAATGAAATTATTTGTCATCTACCGAACACGATAAAAATGCTCCTCTCATTACCTTTTTACCCCCATATTTTTAAAGAATTTCCATATACTAACCTCACCATTGGCGCAGTCTAAATAAAATGTCACCCGCAATGGACACATGGTCGTCTAAAATGAGAAGCAGTATGACAGTCGGCAAGAGTTGAGCATTCATCTGCAAAGCGTGCATGTGCCAGGAGGAGGAGATTGGAAGCACAAAGTATGGGAGAGGGGGCAGTGATGGTAAATATCAAAGCAAAACACAATGCTTAATGCAATAATAGGACCCGAATGGACAGCCATCAAGAACTTTTTGTGCAAGTCATTTTATTATAAAATAAATACGATAACTGAAACCAATATTATCGATTATGATGAGGAAGGAAACTATAACAACCTGAATCATTCCTTTTAAGTTACTGCCTGATAACCAATATTGTACAATCAATACAATAGAATCGAAAATAG